AGGAACTGTATTAAAGGGTCACATCATTAGGAAGGTTGAGAACCACCACTCTAGAGCATTTAGGAATTGAGCTTTGGAGATGGATGGATAATGTGTAGCATTGATAGCTCCTGAAGTGATGAGCATTTGATAGTAATTTCAAGCTCTAGGCAGGAAGCCAACCTCTCAGCTCAGTTCTGGATAATGGGCAGAAGAGTGGGAAGAAGTGGAAGATGCTGACTGACGGGTAGTTCAGGCTGCTGCCTCCCTCCCATGGGAATCCTTCCAAGGCGACTCCGAGTAAGGCTGGAGAATTAGCCCTTCTCTTGTCAGGGAATCACATGTGGAGTTGAAGCTTCCATCTTTTGCCAGAGAGGGTTTCTTTCTGTAAAACTCAACTTTTTTTTACTCAGTCTTGGAAGTATTGAAATGTCACCTCCTGGAAGAGAAAGACACCCAAATGACTTTGAGAGACACTAAGGTTCGCTCAGGTGTTTCATGTGCTTGGCCCAGTGCTAGTGCTTTAGAGTCAGCTCTCAGAATACCCCTTGGAGGGGTAGCTTCTCTTGCTGTGGGTACTCGTAGCCTGTGTGACTTGAAAGCCCAGGCTCCCCTGGTTGTAACACCTCCCAAGAGCACTGAATGGGGTGGGCACACACCTTCTGGGCAGGAAGTGGTGCTGGGGGAGAGACAGCAGCCTGAGCGAAGGTCAGGAGGTGGTTATAAACATGTTCACAGGGTGGAGGTTAGTCTGAGTTAACTGACAGCCCAGTGAGAATTTTCGTGGGAAATGAAATTGGGTGACTTGGGGATGGGGAAAGGGCAGGTTCGTGGACTTGATTTCACAGCCAGTAAGGAGCTCTGGGAGGTTCTTGACGAGGGTCATGAAAGCAGATACTTAGAAAGGCTGGCGTAGCATCAGTACATGTAGGGTAGAGGAGGGCAGAGACACCTGTGTGCGCCAGTCCCGTGCAATGGAGCCTCTCTGTAGCACGAGGCATTCTATGAGAAATTCTCTTTTGGAATGGATTCTGGAGCTCACAGCTTCTCTTGGACTTTTCATTGTAGAAACCAGAAGGAAGGCCTTCCTTTGAAGATTTGCTGCGTACGATAGATGAGCTCGTAGAATGTGAAGAAACCTTCGGAAGATAAGTGGGGTTGTGACCAGTGGCTTCCAGATTCCAAAGCATGAAGAAGTGGCACTTTGTGGCTATTAACTTATTTAGCACCTGGATGTATAGATAGTTTTACTTATAAAGTGGAAACACTTAAAGAATTTGCTTCTAGACCAACCTTTGCTCGGCAATTGAATCTTCCAGATTCTGGAAATGCTGCCTGGGAGATGGTGTATAGAACCACTCATTTCTAGGCATTCCTCAGACCCCTCAGTACCAACTGTGTGCCAGGCACGATGGCCAGGCCCTGGGGTTTGGCCATTTTGGGGGTGCACATTGCACCGTGTCAGCTGGTGCCAGTAGAAGGCCAGGGTGCCTGGGCAGGGGGAGGGTATTAGAACCGTGTTCCAGCAGCCCTTCCTTTCTCTTTGAATTCCACAGAAATCTGGGCCTGGGGCATTGTCCAGAATCGGGTTGTAGATGAATCGGGAACCACCATGGATAAGTACCCATCTTTTGTTTTGAAAACACCTCTATTTTCAAGACTGCTCATAGTATTACCTTTAAAAATATTTCTACATTGTATATGTTGTAAATATGTGAGTATATAATATATAAAGTTATATATTTATAAGAAACATGAATTTGTCTTAGTTGAAATTTTTAATCCTGTTATATATGAGCTCACCGTAGGACTAGAGACTTAACTTTACAGCTCTCTGTCCTTTTTTGCCTGCCCGAGTCTGGACCCTCTATCGGTAACAACCCCTTTTCATTCAGGAGGCGTGTTTGGGGGTGTCTGTCCAGCACCCCCGGGACCTGTGCTTGCGCTGTGTGATCCAACCTACGGTTTCACAGCCAGTTGCCATCAGGCGGAGATTGAACTAGAGAATCAGTCAGCTTGTAGGTCTTCAGAATCTTCCCCAGGGCAAAGAGGCTGTCAGCGGGGGTGTTGGGCTCTGGAACAGAAGAATCTGGTGATGTTTGGACAAGTCTGTGCTGACCTCAAGCAGGACCCGGGAGCAGCTCGTGGCGTGGCAGAGGGTCTGAGAAGCTGGCGAGAACCACGTTCCGCCTGCCTCCCAGTTGTTTTCCAGGAGGCCCGGCCGGACTTGGCTCCTGGACTGGAGAGCCGGTCTCCACAGCAGGCCCTGCCACTGCGTCTGAGTGTGCTTCTCACCTTTATAAGCTCTAAGACACCACCTGAGTTACAGCCTTCCTTTTTCTTCATGACCTCAGAAAAGAAACAGTCCAAGTCACCAACAGCGGAGACCATCTATTGCCCAACACATCATGCTGGTGTTTGTGTGGGTGGAAAGCTGAGGAAGACCTGGGGCCATCCTTTAGGCGTTCCACCCCCTCGGGGGGGCTGCCGTGGTCTCCCCTGGGCTGTGGAGCTTTGGCCTGAGCAGCGTCTCCGTCTGACCCTGGAGGCCTCCCACTCCATCCCGGGTAGCCCTCCCACTGAAGGCTCTGTTGATTCCTTTCTTGTGCCTCTTAACCGGAAGAAAAGTAAAACACTTATCCTAAGTCTTATCAAACCTACCACATTCCTTCTCATCTTCGGTTTTAACTGTACTCCCTGCACAAAATACTTACTCACCCTTTAACTGACTTGTAGAGCGTCCAAGGCGTTGGTCACACGCGAGCTGTATTTGACTGTCCGCCATCCTTCCTCCTTCCTTCCAGACCTTCCTCCCTCACCCCTCCCTGTGCTTCCCTTTCACCTTGCAGAGCTGTGGGAAGTTCCAGGTGTGTTGAAGAGAATGAGCAGAGGGGAGAGACCCTGCTCTAACAATCACGTGTTTTCTTTTTCCTTTTTGGAGACAGAGTGTCACTATGTTACCCTCGGTAGAGTGCTCTGGCATCACAGCTCACAGCAACCTCAAACTCTTGGGCTTAAGTGATGCTCTTGCCTCTGCCTCCCAAGTAGCTGGGACTACAGGTGCCCAACACAGTGCCTGGCTATTTTTGGTTGCAGTTGTCATTGTTGTTTGGCAGGCCCAGACTGGGTTTGAACCCGCCAGCTCCGGTGTATGTGGCTGGCACCTTAGCTGCTGAGCTACAGGTGCTGAGCCAATCACGTATGTTTTTGATGGGAAAACAAGACAGGTAGTACCTGGCAACATTTGGGCACATTTTCTTCAAAAATCTTTAAGTAATTTTCCCTTAAAAAGAAGCTTGTATATGAAAGCATAGCTAAGGCAAGAGGAGAACACTGGAGTATTCACCCAGCATGTTGAAAGAGATCTTATTTAAAAAGGAAATGGGAAGGGCAATAGGAACATGCCAGGACCTCATTAGAGTTGTTCCTTTAATTAGTGAATTTTGGGTTATGATTTCCTTGTGGGATGAGGAGAAACTTGCAAGTGTGTTTGGCATTGTTGATGATGTTGCTTTTGTATTTCTTGGCCATGCCCCTATGACCTAGGAGGTGTGTTAATAACAGTTGTCCTCCCGTAATTAAGGTCCCTGAAGTGTCAATACTGAGTAGGAGGATGGAACATTCTAGACTTGATATCCCAAAGCCTAGAATCTGTTTCTGCCACTCGCTGCGTGGCCCTGGGTAAGTCCCTTCTTTTATTCTGTCTGTGCCTTCATTTCCTTTCCTGTCCAGAGAGGGCAGTTTTTAAGGTCCCTTTTACCAACATTTTGCGATTTCTTGAAAATGTTGTTTGCAAGTCACCCACACGTTTGGGAATGAGGAACTGGTAGCGACACTCTCAGAGATTTGGATGCAGATTACCGAGCTGTCTTATACAGATCATGGGCTGTCTTTAACACACTTCTCTGAGGTTTTTAGAACAGGAAAATAGGTGGGGTTAACT